GAAGACAAGTGCCTCTACCAAGCTAATTTTGATCTCAACGATACGGGAGATTACTCTCCCTGGGTTAAAGTCGCGGGCACGATGGCTGCACCGCCTGCGGTAGCCTATGACAACGGCGTGGTTCACATTGCCTTTGTGGGGATTGATGGAGGACTCCATTACAAAACGTGGACTTTCAAAGGTGGTGTTTATAATCCTACGGGAGACGTTTCCTCCAAGCTAGCCGACGGATTCGACGAGGTGATCTCCCCTGCAGTGGTTGTTACTGGAGGAAAGGTCTCTGTTTTTGCCGTCCACAAGCATGAGCAGTACCTTCATGCTCATGAAGTCGGTAAACAGCATAATTCTCACCACAGTAATGCACTTCCAGGCAGGTGGACCGGTGGGTTGAAGGCCGTTTCGCTCAAGCCCGGGGAATGGGATGTCTGTGGAATAAGTCCCGAAGGACACATCAACCATCTCCGTTGTCGTATGTTCCTGTCCCATGTCGCAATAATATTGTACTGATACAGACTGTTAGGCACCGGTGGACGCATCTACTTGGAGGAAATGCGTGAAGTTCAGGTCATGGGAACCGACGCCATACTCTCCAAGGATGGAAAGATAGAACTTTTCGCGACCACTCGCACTCACGAAGTTCGCCATCGTACTCTTCAGAATGACAAATGGAACCCTTGGGATATTCTTGGAGGAACTATATTCACGCTTCCTAGGGCTGTAGCTCATACGGCGGGTTCCCTGGCTGTCTTCGGGTTGGGGAGTAATGGGGTGGCATATGCTAATATCCGCAATCCAACCACTGGAACGTGGTTCGGATGGCACGCATTACCGCAGGCGACAGGTATGACTGAGTGTGTTGGCTAAGTGCAATTATGGCTACCAATAGGCTGTAGTACATATTTCTTGAGACCGTATTTCTTGACTACTTCAAAATTATTTTGAAAATCCCGTTGCTCTGTCCGGTTTATGAGGAAGAGATTAATATCTGAGATGCAGATACCATTTTTTGACACATAAGTTCCTTCCCAAGACGGCAAATTCAATACAACGAGCAATCTTGCGACAATGCTAGTCAAATATATATTTCGAAAGGGTCTTTACGAAGATCTAACTGGCAGAAATATCGTCCATAGTGAATTTTTGGACAGAACAAAATCAAATAGTAAGCATACCATTATCAGTAAAGTGATGGCATTGAGATGATGGACATGTGACGAGAATGTTCAGCTTGGAGAATAAGCAATCCTCTAGTGTATCTTGGTCGAGGAAAACACATTAATTTAGCGTGATTGATTTAAGCCTGCTGCACAGCCATTATTGGTGTGAGATACCATCGCGAGAAAGCCGTTGACAAATGATCCTAGGAAGAACTGCGCCATGGAAGTCAACGCATTTCAAGCTTATATATTGCAATAAGGGGCAATGATACGGGGATTGAATCTTCAGGAGCGAGCAGTGATTCGAGGAAACCGGAAACATTCATATATTCTAAGTAAATACTTTCCAGATGACCTAGATTGAGGAGTAAATCGGTCCTTGCGCCTAAAACCTGCCCATAAATATAACCCAAATCTTTACTTCGCAAAGAGTATAACGGTTTTCGCGGAATATCTGCCAACAGAGATCGTGGGCTTTTGCCTTGTCCAAAAGCGCTCCAATGGTTGGATTATCAATTTCGGTAAATCAGGTAGATAGAGTGAGCGTAGGAGGAAGAGCATTGCTAGCGATAAATTCAATTCAACATGAACTTCCTTGAGGTGACGGAGTTCAACTCGTTTAGCAGGCCAACGGGGCATAATACTCCAGCTGTATCCGTAGGGAGAATCCATGGATAGGTATTCCAAACTCTTGAAGTGGGATAAGATATCCAGTAAATTTGAGGTTTACTTGGGTACAGCGATATCCTAAGCACTGTGAGGTGTGCAGTTGAGTCGTTTAGAATATACAGTACCCCTCCGTTAATAGCGTCTTTTGCAAGTTTGTTAAATCTCGGGATGTTGAGAGTTCCTTTAACGTCATGATTGGTACGCAAGATGAAGTTTTCCACAATTGGGTACTCAGCTGGGATGCGGGCGGGGCTGGGAATGACATATCCAACCTTTGTTGATGATGACAACATATAACGTACAGCGTTCGAATGCGGGTGGCACCGTGCTTAATATGCATAAAATATTTGAGTATAGACCAAAATATTCGAGAATAAGAATAAAAATGTAGAAAGAAAGTGAAATTTACCCATGCAAGTGAGAAAAGCTGGCAAAGGATCATCAGTTTGTGGACTCACCTAGTAAGCTCTTTGCTATGATATAAGAATTTCCCTGACCTCTCCTGGTATATCTCTTTCAAATGATCTATGATTTGTCCAAATCGGCGAAGTGGTTGGGGCTGGGCGTAAACTGGTGACCGAAAGCCTCTATAAGCATGTGAAAAGCATGTGAACAACACTGGTGAAAGATTATGAGTTTGCGGGCTTACGTTAGCCCTCTGCTACTATCTGACAATTTTCCCGACCTCTCCTAGTATAGATCTTTCGAATGAGCTAGAATTTGGCCAAATCGGCGAAGTGTTTAGGGCTGAGCGTAAACTGGTGACCGAAAGCCTCCATGAGCGTGTCCAAAAGCCTTCGATCGCGCAGCCGATCGGCCCCACGCGTGTTACCAAAATGGTACGGTGCGTGACCGAACGGTTAAGGCAGGTGACCGTATTAGGTCATGCTTACCTTTTTGCTTTTCCTTTGACCGTATTCCATTCTTTGAAATGTCTAAATGGCATGTGGACTGTCCTGGAGGCTGGGATCCTGGTGATTTTTGGCGAAATACTTCGCATTTTTATTTACGGCTTCCGGGACATGTGGCTACGGAGTCGGAATAGACCTGAAGTAGAGTTCCCAATGTGAAGGGGAAAGATTAATAGCATTCCTTCTTTGCAGGAGGCGGAAGGAACCCTGCTAAGACACGGTCCAGTCCGACCTACGAGTTCTCGAATTTCTCCTTACTTAGTCTTCCCCGCTTTGAAAATAATGAGGTTCGGTCGTTCAAGATTGGAAAATAATCTCTTGAAATTCAGGAGCGCGTTGGTAGAATGATGCGAATATGACAAGAAGGAATCGTAGTAGAGATCGCGGGATTCACGACATAGCATTGGTTGATGGCGGACGTCCATAAAAAGCGGACTTCTGTGCGCCGCTCAATAAGCGCAGTCAACTCGAACGATGCACTGGTATATTCACTCTAATAGCATTGTAATACATGAATGTATAAGACACATAATAGAACGAGTCCCTCTATCTCCCTTTGAACTCCTGAACTCGGTTGTCGAAAATGTCCACGAAGGGACTCTAACAGTACGCACCATTCATCCTTTATGTTTCTATTTCTCTAAATCCTAATATGTTGACAGAAGAAGACAATTTCTGAAGGACGTAATAGGTCACCGTAGCTCCCAGAAGGTGCAATTTATTTTAAGCCAGCGTCGCGTCTCTATCTCAACGACTTCTTAGCAAACGAACACGGGTTAAACGGTTCAATCGCCGCCTATTGCAAGAGCGAGTTATGTTTTCAAGATCCTCACGTGGTCGTATTGGTTGTAGAAGGGACCTCGTTCCGTCTTTTCCGTGATTTATTGGCCGAATCATCAGAAGTGTTCGCCGACATGTTTTCCCTGCCAACAGCGCCCGGTCAAGATAATGAAATATTCGAAGGATATCCAGCGGTTCATTTGCAAGACAAAAAGGAGGATATGGAGAATTTCTTGCAGGTTCTCCTTGGGCGCATGTGAGTTTTTGCATGACATACTGTGATGGTAATTCTGACCGAAGTCTCTACAGATCTCAATCGAAAATCGACATGTTCTTGACAATTCAAGATTTTAAACATAATAAGATCCCTGCTATTACTGGAGTCTTTCGTATCGTATCAAAATAGCTCTTTGAGGATATTGAGAAAGCTTGCCTTACATTCCTCGATGAGACACTCCTAGATACCTTTAGTCTTTGGCAGGTCGGCCCTTGCACCGCTTACGCCGACGATTTTCTCGGAGTTGTATTGGACCAGAACCTGGTTCATTATCTTCCGATAGTCCTTTAGTCATTATGCTCATGTCAAGTAGACTCATTGTCTCGCGATTGAGAGATGTTCCCGATATCCTAGCGAAAGTATTTCAGGGTGAGGACCAACTTTCGCATGCCTTTGCCAACTTCGTTCACGCGGCATTTGGTTATGTTGAAATTTGATTTGACCAGCAATGGCATACGTCCGCCCTCTTCGCTGCATCTATTTTAGGGTCACCCACGCTCAAGGATCCATTGAATGTGACTTCTAGGGTGAAAGCTTTTGTTTCAACGCATACCTCGCTTTGCTTAATCTGTAGTAATAGAATGAGAACTTACATGGATAAAGAGGGTCTGTGGGAAGCATTACCCCAAATCTTTGGACTTGCCCAGTCATGGAAAGATTTGAAAAGACTTTCCGAATAGGCCTGTGATCCGTCTCTTCCATTCCATTAAAGTTACCCTTCCATTTTACATCATGGTATATTGTATACATATCACTCTTCTCCCTTTTTATTTTCAAATTGATAAGTATAATGGATAGTCGTCTCAGCATCCAACTACAAACGACTAATTACTGCTTCAGTGAAAAATATTTATCGCCTGTGATAATCTCGATTATAGGACTACTCGAATTCTTTTACGTTGTTTAGAGAAAATTCGTACGTTATTGGAAACTTTAATTGAACCCTAATCTCGACCTGTTCTCACCCTCACCATCAAAAAGCAAGTGTATCTCGCTGCATTCTCGAATCAGCTGCTGACCATCCAAAGGTACGTCAGCCTCAGCTTTATTTCAATTCCTCATCTCATTCTGACGATTAATCAAATTCTTCAAACACCCCGATTCCAATCCTTTCAAAATCACTATGGCCCTTCGTGATTAGAAAACGAAGACTATTACCACACATCAGCACCGGAGGATACATGCCACCCCACAGCTTAAAATATATCTTCGGTAGTATAGTGGTTAGTATTCGCGCCTGTCATAGGCTTCCTTTAGATCGCGCGAGACCCGGGTTCAATTCCCGGCCGGAGAGCTTTTTATTTTATTTTTCCCTCCCTCTCAGGCCCTATTTGTTACATGAGGATTTGAACGACATGTAGATTAAATAGGGTCCTTTTTCCTAGAAAAGCCGTGGGTTATTTTTGTCTCAGTAATGGTAGGCTCAGTGGTAGAAAGCTGAAGGAGAGGATTTATATTCTGATAATAGGGACGATTCGCAACGAGATTATCTAGTCGGCTAAGCTCGGCTAAGGCCCCACCACCAATTATATGTGGAGAATCTATAGATAATCTAATTGCGAATCGTCCCTAATGATATTTCATCATCGTCACGAGCCACGGTACCACAATTGTAATGCTCTTCATAATAACGAAAACCTGTTGATTTCCCGATGTCAATCCTTTAGCTGTATTTCCAATATACTTTCTCTACTGGGGTAAGAAAGCAACAGTAGACTCAAGGCGTTCCCGGAAAGCTGAGTGCCTCGCATTGTGCAGAGCCAGATAAAAGAAGGTATATTACTTCAACTATAGACGATAAAATTTATCCACTTCTCCACTATCGCTTCTAGGTATTCTTGAATAAGTACTAAATATCTGTCAGAATAGTGATCTCTATGCAGAATAGTAAGACGTACGTCCGCTCGACATCAAGGCTTCGACAGTATGATCATGGTATAATCTCTTTTCTGCAGTGATATTTCCACACTGTAGCAATCCTGGCCATGAATTAAGAAAACTTGAAAGCTCGTGACGAACTGAAAGGGGAGACTCAGGCGTCTCGAGATGACAGGTGCCACCTTGACTACGGGAGATGTTCTCATAACGGGAGGTGTCAATCAAAAAAGATATATGTCAATAATTTCGCCGTTCCGTCCGTTCGGTGATTAGCATGTGGGAACGCAAATAGATTTCAGGCTTGGCATTGATTTTCCAGGGATAGGTATCATGTATTGATCCACTATAATGCTTAATTGGTTTCTAGATAATCAGCGTTCTTAAACTTTCATGTTAATGCTTTAATTTGCATACGGACCATTCTTGATCCAAGGATTCAATAAAGGACCTTCGTTAGGGGGAGCGCAGCCTAATCTGAAGATATTTGCATATGCCGTACTTAGTACTGATTTGTATCTCCAAAAATAATATAGATAATCTTAAATTCCAAAATTGATAGGAATAAGAGATTAAATGAGTAGTCATGAACGAAAGAAACCGCCCACTGCGTTGACGACAATTGTTGTTGGGGTTGAAATACAGAGCGCTACACATACACCTACAAGACGCATCCTGTGCAAACAGCTCCGACGATGGACAGTACTGAGTAATGAGAAGTATCCATCATATCATCGCTTTCGACCCACGCCTGTCGATGTCATTCGTTCTGCGTCTGATTCTTAGTATGGTTGGAAGGGAGGAAGTGTCGTTAGAACTCGTTAGAGGACGTATGGTCGTTGGTTCTCTGGTATGTCGTGCAGCACCGTACACCGCAATGAGGAAGCTAATCTTCGACTTTAGTTCCCAGTTATCCGTGTATGTAGAAGCCTTTACTAGTGTAGCCTTTATTAATACTGGCGGTCTCACCGGCGACGATGGTACTGTAGATGGCGACGATACTGGAGATATTGACGGTACAGATACCTCCGATGGTTCAGATGTGACGGACGGCACCGAAGACGGCACCGATCCCACCGATGGTTCAGATGTGACAGACGGCATCGATGCCAACGCTGGAGACGCAAACTCCTCGGATGTTGACTCGACATCTAGCGATGGTGCAGATGCAGATACCGATGCAGCTGATTCCTCGGATGCCGACGCGATCTCTATTACACCCGCTGCTGCCGCCTCTTCCACACCTGCCGCTGCATCTCCATCCTCGAAATCCGGTTTTTCTTCGCCAGCAGCAGCCGCTTCATCCACCTCTGGCTCTTGCGCAAAAGGAGCCACCCGCCAAATGCAGCCATGATCAACCTCGTCAAATCATCCGAAGGCTTCGTTCCTTCCTCTGGCATCCCTATCGTCGGTTTCGGTCACAAATGCATTCAAACAAACTGTGCTGAAGTCACATCCCCCTTCCCTCTCTCCCAAGCCACCGCTTCTCAGCTCTTCTCCAACGATGCCCAGATATTCATCAGCCGTCTGCACAAATTGATCAAACCGTCTGTCTCGCTCAACGATAATCAATTCGGCGCTCTGACGAGCTTTGCGTTCCTTCGGTGTGGGACGATCCAAACTTCGACTTTATTGACGAGGTTGAATAATGGGGAGGATCCGAATACGGTTGCTCGTCGGGAGATGCCGAGGTTTAAATTTGCTGGTGGGAGAGCTAGTGGGAGGTTGATTCGGAGACGGATTGCGGAGGTTAATTTGTTCCAAATGTCGTTGAGCACTGGCGCATCCATTATGTTAAGTGCTTGTCGTTTTCAGACTTCTTTAGGTTGATCCTGTATCTTATCTTTACAACTAAAATGACTTCAGATATTATGTTCATTTGCGGTTCAATGAGGTCCTTAATATCGAATCTCCATAATTATCATTATGAACAAGTTGGGTCCTGCGCTCCGCTCCGGTATCATTATGGGGACAGGCGTGGTTTGAAAAGAGCGATTTTTCATGCACTGATAGGAGTCAGTCTTCTCGCAGATAAGCAGCAATTTATGACTATGCAAATGACTCTTGAAAGCTTCCCGGATCCGAATTTACAGTCCTTGAGCCATCAGTCTCAACCAAGTCAGGACTGAATGTATAGTAAACTTCAAGTGACCAAATCACAATCTAGTACTGGAAGCAATTGCAAAATATTTGAGTCATCGACGCTGAGAAACTGGCTAGCTCTGTAGCTTTTAATTGCATGACATCTATTCTATGATACGTAGATTCTTAGAAGTCACTTTCGGGTCCGTTAAAGACTCACTCGGCAGTCATAATATGACTCTATGCTGAAACCTGAACTCATTATGTATTCATTATTGAGGATCGTTGAAGAAAGTGAGTCTCCAAGAATAACTATTGGACTTATGGCTAAGTAACAGGGAGCGTATATAAAGGGGAGGCTAGAGAGACAATATAAGCCCCATCGTAGGAGTTCGTAGAAATCTTAGGATACGACTTATTATTATCAGCTAATACTTTTTTGGGATTGAATTTGGGATAATATGGGCTCATATAAATGAAGGTACTTGACATGTGTATCTAAGAGGCATCTATGATAAGCAACATATTGTAAACTCTCATGCCATTCATATATTTACCATGTATGTTCTTCAGGCCACCGAAACGTTCAGCGTTCACTGGTGACGTTCCTTAATGATCAACCTTGGAGGACAATTGAAAGGCTAATACCGGGAGGTATATATCCTAGCAAATTTTGCGCTCCAAGATATCTTTTATTGCTGTTTTTGGAATGTTCACTTCCATCATGGTAGGAGAGTACCGGAGCCCAGCTACGTTGTTGTGTTCGTTTATAGTGCTATTTGTGCTAATTTTACATATATAATAGAAGAATATTCGGATATCTTGTACATGCCCAGTTCAATGTGGACTTCGTGTCAGGGAAAGCTGGTTCCTACCGAAGGGCGCACCTTTTGACAAAAATAAATATTCTTGAGAAGATCCATTGATAATCTAATTTATCCTGTCCGATTTGACTGTCGATTCGTCCTTTTGTCTCGGTCCTTCTCGGGACTATGTACATTGGCGGTAGGTGCTCAAAACTCAATTTAAATTATATTATAATGAACTGTGACGGCGAAGTGCCTATCCTTGATCAAGCTATTTCGAGCGATATTAGCCCTCGGTGCCGATGAATCAAGATGGTGACTTCGTGGAGTCGTTCTGTACACATGGATAAGATATCGCAATACAGTCGAAATTCTCATAATGCATACGGTCGGGAGCCGCCAAATCGTATGCATTATTAGATTTATGCATTACTAAAAATAGCGACTAACGTGACATAATGTGACTACCTCGTTCCCAGCCATCCATCCAGTGTCGACTGATTCACTTCCTTCATTTGTGTATGCCTCAGATGAACTCTGAAGTTCCGTAACTGCCTTGTAAGTTCCAGTGAGTTATTTGGAGCATATCTGATAGTGAATTTCTCAAGGGATTCAACCATTTGGAGAATCTCAGGGATGGTGGCTTTCGGTTCGTCCTTATCTGCGTCTTCGTCATCACTATCCTCCACCTCAATGACTTCTCCCTTCTCCACAGCTATTTCATGCCTAACCTTGGCAACAATATCTTCATCATCTCCATCAAAGGTGTACAGTGATTGACCAATTTCTTGTTCTTCCACCGGGTTAAGGAGGTCTTGTAAGCTCACCGGTGTTCCAATGATCCTGCCACAACTCTTCAATGCATTGACACATTCCTGCAGGTCTTTTTCGATTCCCTTAAGGACAGGAGGCAGTCCAGGGAGTGAGGATTGAGCTTGAGAGGCTGGGACTGATGTTGCGTCGCTCTGAACAACTTCAGCTAATGGACAGCCGAAGAGCTTCCTGGTGTGTTCATCTAAAGCCTTAATTGCCTCGTCTGAACCATATTCTGAAGCAGCCATAACCACGTTGAAGCTAGCACTCCATTCAGCATAGACAAATCGCGATCCAAGATATTCCTTGAGTGCAGCTTCAGCTTGTGGATATGACATGTCAGTTGCTGCCAATTGCTGAATGATTTGCCATGCTTTTGGGTCTCGCAAAGCAGGCAGAGGCTCCATTGTTTTTGTTGGAAGTGGCATAACTGTAGGCTGAGTAACAGTTGAGGGAGGGAGGTTGGCTCCGGGAAGGATTAATGTGTGGTCCCAGCAGTGCTGAACAGTGTCAGCTGTAACATTGTCCCATGCTTCTTTTATCAATGCCATTGCTTCCCTAATAGATATTTTGTATATATCACGTTGCTCTGCCTCCTCAAGCTTCAAAGCTCGAAGACAATATGCCTTGCGATAATGAGCCTTGAGACACCGAATAATACCTGCATCACATGGTTGCACGAACGGTGTCATATTTGGTTGAAAGAACTCCAACCGAA